ATTATCAAGATCATTGCAGCATGAGCAGAGCTAACGGACAATGTGTACGAATTGTTACCTGCTTGTGGGGCATCGCTGTGGAATTAAATATGGAGAAAATTTGCAGCAGTGATAGCATCAGGCCATGGGAGGTCGACAGCTCCTGTTGTATGTCGTCCAGGAACAGATGCGGTGACTCTTGAATGACCTGGAGAACAGTCTGCAGCAGTGACTGAGGTTAGTATGAGAACACCATTACTAATGAAGACAGACATTGGTTTCATCTTGACTGGGCTGGAGGATCATGTGTAGTAGAGTAGAAGGGCAAAAGCAATGCACGTCTGGTGCGGTGAGAGAGCGTGGCAAAAGAGCGCTGATGTGACAGCAGTGACTGGATGCTGACACAGGTCGGATGCAACATGTTATAATTACCATTTTCAATATGCATCTTCGGCCAGGATTATGTAGCACAAGGCTGAGGAGGGCATGGGGCTGTCCTGTATAATTTTTGGAGCCAATTTGGTGCAGAGGTCAGTGAGATGTGGCTAATTCTTTATTTCCCATGTAAAAATGCCTATCTGTGAGCTAGAGACAGTAGAAAAAAAGATATGCCTAAATCACTCTGACAGGATGTTTCTAGCATCCATAATTCATGCCTCCAAACATATCAGCCTAATTGGTCAAGTGCTGGGCTTGCTAGCCTTGATTTATTGTGGAAAACGGCCCAACCACCAGGCTAACCAAAATAAGATATTTTCAGTATTCTGGCTCTGTCACTAATTGCAGATGAATTAGTAGAGCAGATCTAGCTACTTTTCGTCCGGATCGTACAGAAACTGAGCGTGCTAGAAGTAATTCTTTCGGAACTATAAAAACAGGCCAAATCGGGAAAATTTTCGCCGTGCCTTCGGTTCCGACATTAGCTGTAATGAAAGTGGTGGATTCAGCTGAAAGATATTTCTACTGGTTTGAAATATATCTCACAATATGTTTAAACTGGGTCTAGGTAAAATCTGCAAGCCATGTGTGAAACATATTAAAAATATCTCCCCTGTAAAACTTGCCACTACATGTGAGATATATTTTGTATATGTCTCCCCTTTGGTTCAGCATATGTCAAGACTATGTTTAGGGTAAGTCTGGGCAGCAAATGCGAAACATATTCAGATTAGGTCTCATGTATGTCTTTCAACAAGTGGGCCTACAAGCTTGAGAGATATCGATTACATGTCTCGAAAATGTCTCTGTTGTTTTTCAACATGTGTTTAAGCTATGTACCAGGTAATTTGCCGTCAAGAGATCATAACAAATATAAACTTTGTGTCTCATATGTATGCAATGTGAGACATGCAACATTGTAGACATATTCATTATGTGTTTACCATATGCACAACTGCAGAGCCGTGGAACTCACAACTGCAGAACTGCACATAGTGTGGGGCACAGGTTTGGGTAAAACCCGCGGGTTTCCGGGTCGGGTTGGGTGGGTCCGGGTCACGGTTTCGAAAGATATTAAACCCGTGCTAACCCGGACCCTACCCACAGTATAAAAGGGTATTTGCAGGTTAAACAATGAGATATTATGTATTTCTCTCTCCCATTTCTCCTTAGAATTGTGCTGTGGTAGCTGTGCAGCATTATCAATTACAGATAGGTGGCAATCTTTGCCTTTTTCTCCAGCTACCAACATGCTGTGAGGGCTCAAACTTGGTTTTCATCTATGCAATGGATGAAATAGATGTTTCTTAGAGGTCCACAGATTAATCCTCAGCACACTTGATTTTTTCAAGTTGATCCTACAAGGGATACGATGGGTAAACCCGTGCGGGTTATAGACCCGGGGGAGCCCATACGTACCCATATGAAATTGGGTACAGGTTTATATCCTTACCTGCATGGGGTACAGGTTGCATGGGTAAGGGTCCAGGTTGCCATTTTTCAACCCAGACCCAGACCTGTGCCCAACACTGTTGACAGTCTGCACAACTGCAGAACTGCACAAGTGCACTGCAGAACTATGGAACTGCACAACTGCGAAACTGCACAACTGCACAGCTGCAGAACACACAACTGCAAAACTGCAAAACTGTGGAACTGTGGAACTGCCCAAATGTGAAACTGCAAAAATACGGGACTGCACAAGTGTGAAACTCAGAACTGCACAACTGCACAAGTGTGAAACTCAGAACTGCACAATTGCACAACTGCGAAACTGCACAACTGTGGAACTGCCGAAGTGTGGAACTCAGAACTGTAGAACACACAATTGCAAAACTGCAGAACTGCAGAACTGCGAAACTGTGAAACTGCAGAACTGCAGAACTGCAAAATTGCACAACTGCACAACTGCACAACTGCGAAACTGCACAACTGTGGAACTGCACAAAGGCACAACTGTGGAACTGCCCAACTGTGGAAGTGCACAAATGTGGAACTGCACAAGTGCACTGCAGAACTGTGGAACTGCAGAACACACAACTGCGAAACTGCAGAACTGTAGAACTGCAAAACTGCAAAACTGTGGAACTGCACAAATGTGGAACTGCACAAGTGTGGAACTCAGAACTGCAGAGCACACCACTGCAAAACTGCATAACTGCATAACTGCACAACTGCACAACTGTGGAACTGCCCAAGTGTGGAACTAAGTGCACAAATATGGAACTGCACAAGTGTGAAACTCAGAACTGCAGAACTGCACAAGTGTGAAACTCTGAACTGCAGAACTGCACAACTGCGAAACTGCACAACTGCACAACTGTGGAACTAAGTGCACAAATGCGGAACTGCACAAGTGCAGAACTGCAGAACTGCAGAACTGCAAAACTGTGGAACTGCACAAATGTGGAACTGCACAAGTGTGAAACTCAGAACTGTGGAACTAAGTGCACAAATGCAGAACTGCACAACTACACAACTGCAAAACTGCAAAGCTGCACAACTGCACAACTGCAAAACTGTCGAACTGTGGAACTGCCCAAGTGTGGAACTGCACAAATGCGGAACTGCACAAGTGTGGAACTCAGAACTGCAGAACTGCAGAACTGCAAAACTGCAAAACTGCAAAACTGCAAAACTGCACAACTGCACAACTGTAGAACTGCAAAACTGCAAAACTGTGGAACTGCACAAATGCGGAACTGCACAAGTGTGGGACTCAGAACTGCACAGGATGAAGTATACACGTAAGATGCCTCTTTTTAACCTGCTGATTACTCACGATCACCGATTTGTTCCTCATTACTCATGTCACGTGCATTTCTTGCTCTTGACTTCCATCTTGTGATACATATCCCACTTCTTGTTGAATATACTCTGGCCTACTTGTTCCTTTCTGGTGCCCTCAAGAGTCTTTCTCCCCATCTTTAAGTGGTGAGTTTCCACTTTTTGAACAAGTCTGCTGTTTATATTGCCTCCGCCCGCCAATCAGAGATCTCCATCTCTTGATCGTGGATCCCCAGCGATTCCCCATGTCTCCCCACATGGATGCTCACTCACCCCCACCGTCCCTCCAGCGGTGTTCCTGCATCCGTAGAGCCACTCCAGCTCACTCACCATTGTCCTCCAGGTGCCACTTCAGTGTACAGCACCACCACATCTGGTAACACCCACCCTGTTTTCACGCTTGCCAAATTTCCCACGTGCCGAGGATTCACGACACTGAGATCCACGACAAAGCTGGCAAATGGGGCAAGGCTGTTCTGCTCAAAACAAAGACCTGCTGTAAAGACCACAGCCACCTTACAAACACAAAGACTGTCAAAGAGTAGTTCAAAGACATAAGATATCAAAGACAAATACATTGTTTCCCTCATGTTTACAGTGAAAGATCACAAAGATTACCAGGAAATAAATTTATGCATTTTTTGTGTGTATAAGTTGATTTCACTCGTAATTTGATCAATGGATCAAAGACAAGTGCCGGCCACATGCGTAGGTCGCACCTGGCGGTGTGATGCGGACTGCGGTGCTTCAAACTGCCAGACGGTGGGGTGATCCGGGCTATGCTTAAATGCTCATCCTCTAGAGGGAATTTGTTCTGTCGCTGTAAGACAAGTACGTAGGGAGGTTTAAATAATATTGGTGGGGATATCCATACAAGGATTTGAACGACTTGTTCAAGATCCTGCTAGCTAGGGTGAACTGAGCGAACTCCGATGCCTAGTTTAGCCTTCTCGGGTTAATGGAGGTTGAATCTGTTCTACACTTCCTCGGAGGAACTCCGGAAGGTGATGCAGGGTCCAATTCATTATATCTGAGGGGGAATATGGGTTTTAAGAGCTTCTTCAACCACGAACCACGGACCTCCAAAGTATATTTGGGTTGTAGATCGTAAGGCCGGGGGAATTATGTGTCCGCTGTACCATTCCGCAGATTTCTCCTCCTTTCTACCCCTCTTTATGCCTCTATGGAGTTTCCTCTCTCTATTTTCCCAACCTGTTCGCTTGCTGAAGGCGACTTCTGTGGGCTCCTTACTGCCAACTTCCTTAGCTAGCAGCTACACACGAACTCCGAAGACTTTGTTGTGCTGCTTGAGAGAATCCACTGCCCTACTAACGTAGGGGAGGAGTGGTCGGTTTGATAATTGACGCTGAACTTATGTTGAGCGAAACTCTGATTGCTGTCTGACAGCAGCAAGGGAGTGCCGGAGGTCGTTTACTGTATAACTCAACTCCGGGTGACCTCTTGGTGACATTCGGAGGACTTTAGCTACCCCTAAGCTGGCTAAGGCTTAGAGGCTGAGAATGTGGGCCGAAACTGAGATGATATTTTGGTAGACGAGCTGTTGTATTTATACTCCCAGCCTAATGCTGTGCCGGACTTGCTCCTTTGTGTCCCAATCCAGTTTGCTCACACACTTCTCCGTCCGGAGTTCACCTGTGACTCACTTCGGACTCCGTGAACCTATATCCGCGCCGTTCCTGGCCAGGCACCAACTCCGTGGTCCGGGTTCGTCACCCTATTCCTGGATGCACCTTTTCTGCCCTAGCTTCTCCTCCGATCCGATTTCCACCTGTAGCGGCTCGATAGTGTAACGGTAAACGCACTCTGTGTTAATGTCACCCCTGTGTTTGATTATGGAGAGATTTGGAGTTCGATCCTGCATCGAGCCCTTCTCTCGTGCTATCCACTTTTTGTTACCCGGAGTTTCTTGCCAGCCCCGCTGCAACGTATAATCTTCGAATCTCCATCCCTGAGATAGCATGGTTCGATGGCGTAGCTGGTAACACATCCTGTCTTGGTTCTTGCACAAGCACCTCTGCAGGAAGTCCGAAGTTCGATCCTTTGTCAAGCCATTTCGTGGATAATTAAAGAGTTTTTTCATAGACAGGCTACCGATCTTTTGCATTGCACGTGTTGGTGGTCCAGTGGCATAGCGGTCACGCACTCCATTTGAATAGCTGGTGGGAAACTGAATAAGGGAGGGTTCGGAGTTTGATTCTCCGCCAGGCCATGTTTACATCAGAAATGTTTTTCGAGAGGGCGGAGTTGTTGCTTCAGTCATGACCTCATCCAAGTCTGGGTCGTTCTTTTAAGGTCTGATGGCGTAGTGGTAACGCACTCTGTAAAGCTGGTAGGGTCCGGTTAAATCTTCACGGAGGGTCTGGAGTTCAATTCTTCGTCAGGCCTTAGTGTTTTTATTCCGTCAGATGATAACCAGAAGATTGTATCTTGAAAGACAACTCGTTGAACAGCTCAGTGGCGTAATGGTAATGTACTCCGTTGATAAGCAGTGAACTGAGCTGGCTGTGAAAATTGCATTTTGTGCATGCTTCATATCTACAAAGTACTAGCATTCTCGATAGAGGACTATTGTGATCTCCGCGCAGATAGTCGAGGATATATGGCACCCAGAGGACTCTTGGGACATGATCTTATAGCAGGTACTCCATATTGAGGCCTATATACGACTTGACCTAGGATATAATACCTTAAGGTCGAACAGTGCAAACCCTCTATCCAAGGGTAAACAAGTCACTTAGTGCCAGTCCATATCAAGGAGATGGGATATATTGCATCCCTAGGCCATATAAGCAATAAATACACGAGACGGAGACAGGACTGTATCAGATGATATAGTGTCAACATCCAATAGCTGCACTATAAAGTGGCATATACGATGGTCGAATTGTGTATACAATGATCAGTCGGCGTATATGATGATCTGAATGGGGTTGTTCTGGTGCTGATAGGACTGGATGGCTGTAAACCCATCCAAGTCTATTCGGATGATTGAACTAGTGACACTTGGAGAGTACACAGTTGAGCTTACACACTAAACCCTCAAGCATATACACTCGAACCAAGAGTATGTATGGTTGCTGGGCAGATAGGAAGCCACATCTAGGACCATATGTGTGTGTGTGCGTTCAGTCGCCATATACATGCACTCAAAGGCTGTATCCATGACCGAAGCAGCATATACACTCAGTAGGACCAACGAAGGCACCCAGCCTGGCCTCTACAGCATTGATTCTGGACCGTTCTAGGCCCTGGGTCATGGTTGAAGCCGTCCGGGACATCGGACATCACCTGACAGCCATATGAGTCAGACCGAGTCAGGAAGGAATAGAGACTATTTGCAACCCAGTTATCCAAGGGGAAGGGTTCTGAGCCCTGTATACATGCTAAGAACGGCATATACGGTCGAACGACAGGATGTTTAACCATGTTGACACTGATCCTCGCGCTGCGACACCTCACGTGAAGGGTCCAGGCTCCGGGAACACAAGTAGCCGGTTCGATCGGATCCGAACGGACACGGATGACTCCATTGACGGAATCAAATATCGATCGGAAGACTCCGGGACGATGTTCGACTACCGTAGACTAGCACCTAAAGTCTGTATATGATATATACCAGGCTTGGGAAGGAAACCTTAATACAATATAAGACACCTCGAAGGTGTTCTGAACACGATATACCCTGGAGTATGACTGTTCGCACCTATATTCCGACTGATCGGAGGTACGAGTCATACGGCGCCGCTGTGAATCAGCAAGGAGGAGTCATCCACGAACGTGGGAGGGCCCTCGACCAATCATAGAGGTTTCGGGATCGATATATTCCGGAACGCGTGCTCATTTCATATATTATTTATCAGCTAGTAGTGTAATCATCGTTTGTAATCGTATATAGAAACAGTATATAAGGGCGCCTGCACGAGAGGGAATGGCAGCGAATCGCGCCAGTGGCTGGTTGGAGGCTAGGAATAGTCACAACCAGCTGCTTGGTTAGATTGTGTGCTCTGTTCGCCTTAAGGCATTGCTCAGTAGAGTCTGCTTTATAGTGTGTGAATATACCTTTGGATTGATATAAACACCTGAGCCTGGAAGTTATAACATTTGAGCCTGGAAGTACATTGGCCTGGAAGTTAAACATTTGAGCCTGGAAGTCACAATACATTGAGCCTGGAAGTTTTATTGGCCTGGAAGTTTACCTGGCCTGGAAGTTCTTACAAGTTTATACTTGTTCAATCGTGTTTATACAGTTCACCAGTGTGTTCTGGGGGGTTTACAAGCCAATCGCATCAGCGACTAGTTGGCGGCTAGAATATAGTCACGATTAGTTGTTGGTAGGTTGTGTGCTCCTTTACGGAAATCAACCATATACACGATTTAAAACACTGTTCTTGCATCTGCTCCAGGCCATATACACCATTGTACTCGTAGTCGACAATCAAGTCGATCCGTTTATAATTGTTGAAAGCCTGTTGAGCCCAGTCGATACCATTGCTGAAGGGCCTTTGAGCCCGAATAAAACCCAATATCGCGATCAAATCACACCCCATTGTATCTCGGAAGGCCCTAAAAGCGCCGACCTACTGTGTGTTGTGTATACAATCTAGTCGATTGCAGACAAACATCCTTGGGATCGCTCGGACAAGGGCCATTTACACAAGTGATTCTTGGAAAGACTATCACCGTAAATCTCGTCTGATAGACCTAATACTTGGTCTTATCCCCGAACAAACAACACAATGACTTCTGTCTTGCAGTGGTTTAGTGTTAGGTTGGTGGTTTTGTGGTAGTTAGTTGTTGGTCTCGACCTTCAGCACTCCTGCATTGCACTATTCCTGCTCACTTCCCACACTGCTGGGTCAGTTGCCAGTGTATCACCGTAAGACTGGTTGCATGTGCTGTTATCAGCTTTATGGAGGGTCCGGAGTTCAATTCTTTGTCAGACCTTAATGTTTTTATACAGGCGGACATCCGTGAAAGGCAACGACGTTGAACCAGCTCGGTGGCGTAATGGTAACATACTCCATAAGACTGGTTGCGTTTTCTGTGAAGGCTTTGCGGAGGGTCTGGAGTTCAATTCTTCGTTGGGCCTTAGTGTTTTTGTTCAATCCGTATTCTGGGTATGCTGTTTACGGAGATGTTGTCGTTGAACCATCAAATATTGTGCTCTCGGAGTTCTTTGCAGATGGCTTGGTGGCGTAACGGTAACACGCAGGTTCGGAGTTCAATTCTTCGTTGGGCTTTCTGGTCATCTTGCTCAAGTTGTACTATGATATCGGACATATGGCAGAGTGACCTTTGGAGTTTCACCTTTTTGAGGCTCTGTCAGGAGCTATCACAATGTGATGGCTCACAGCGGTCAGGTGCCTCGGTCTTTGCCCCTGGTGTGATTCAACTCTAGTTGAGAGTACAGGACCACTCAGAGTCGAGCAGGGGGGATCCCTATACAAGAGTCATATATCCTACAGTGCTAAAAGTCCGTCCCTTTTATACCCCAGCCTGTAAAGCCTTCAGGCTCCTGCTCCATCCGATGGAATCGGGTCTGAGACCTCCTTCCAGTTGTAAAACAGCGAAGCATGCACATGCGCATGGAAGGCAGCTTCCAGCACCGAAAAGTAGAAAAACATGGTGGTGGAATGAATCCATGGTGGTGGCTTGCGAGAGCAATGGCCGGGATGTGTTTCATGTGGCCGTGAGGATGTGAGAAATGAAGCAAACACCCACGCAAATCGCAAGGTGAAGACGAATCTGGTTGTGGAAATGTGAAAATGGAGTGGACACCTGTGTGAATTGCAAGGTGAAGGCAGATCTGGGGTGCAAATCACAAATTCCAGGGTGGTTGACAGTCAAGGATGGCCGTCCCCTGGATACTGAGCGGTGGCCAGGAAATTGCATGGAAAGGGGGGTGGAGCTGCATGTAATCTGCCGCAGTGGAAATGGCAGTAGTCTGGGGCACGATGTCATCTGTCAAGGTGGAACACCAGGAGTCGAGTTGGCTTGGAGTGTAACCTCCACCACGGTCGTGGTCGGGGAAGGATGTATAAGTGCAACACGCCTGTGGTGTGTTTCCGAATCTGGTTTCTTGAGTTTCTGAATTAGGTGATTGGTTCATCTGGAGTCATGCAGTGGCACAAGGGCACATGCAACACATGTACAGCCCTCACAACGTGCAGTGGTGGAATATGGCAAGTTGTTGGGGCATGGTGTTATCCGTGAGCGAAGTTGAGGCAGAGCGCCGGGTCGTCCAGTGAAACGGTTGCTCAGAGTCAAAGGCTGCAAAATGCAAAATGAACAAAACCCAACTTTCGAGTGATTGAGATTGGACACAACTCAAATGAGCAAGAAAGTCCAACTCCAACTACTCAAAATACTGGATTCCAAACACTAAACACCTCTTGTATTGCACCGATGGTTGTCTGACAAGTTAGGGTCTTTTTAGACACAAGTATATGTCTAAAGGAGCTCTAAGTCGAGATTTCTTGGGCTGACTTGGTACTGTAGAAAGTAACTCAAAGAGGAACTTTCTCGACGAAACACTTGGTTCAAGTAACAATTTGACAGGGTTGCATTTGACCAGTCTGAAGGTATGTGACAGCCTGAGCTCGGGTTTCAGTATCAGCTTCCTCTTACTTTTCTTTCTTTTTTTAGCTGCTGCAAAAACTTGCAGGGTTGGCCATTGACATTCCAACAGTGTGAGAGTAGGGCGATACGTGTCTGTGTGCAGGAGTGTGTGCATGGTGATAAGGCGGTGATCGTATGGGGACCGGCACGGGAAACTTGATGGCAACATTTAGACACGACATGTTCTAACTAGTGCTTTCAAGACCCGTCTTTCGTGAAATTGGACTTCCAAGGAGGTAGAGGGAATGAGCCCATTCCTGTGGGTCAGTATCTGGAGCATTGTCATCCAGAACTCAGGGAGATGAACAGAATTGATTATTTCATATGTCAAAATATTGTTGAGGGAACTACGATGCCCAGAGGGACATATAGGCAAATATGGCTCTATGACATCTCTTGTAATACCCACAAGTCTTCCCTCCCCGAAAAACAGCCCGATTGCATGCAATCTAGACACACTGGACCAGATTTACGCCCCGGAGGGCCAAGACTGTCAAATGACCCAAAATAGAATATTTTCATGGATCTGGCTCTATCACTAATTGCACTAGAATTATTCCAGCCAATCTAGCTATATCTTAGCTCCATCGGAGCCAAACTCACTGAGATATCAACAATTTTTTCGCAGGGATCAAAAACAGCCCAAAATGGGGAAAAAAAATGTTCGTGCCTTATGTACTGACATTGCTGTAAACAAGATCTAAAATATGTTGTGTTGAAAAAGGCGATACTTATTATAACTTGCATTTGCATATGTTTTGACTGTT